ATTTAGGATAAAGAGAGCTTGGACCAAAAAAGAGGGATGCAGATCCTTAGGTGCCATGATCATTTACACATTAAGTGGATTTGTGGACATCAGCCTGGGCCAAATTGCTGCCAGTTTTCCCATGAAATAGCATGATGATGTGGATTTAGATAATGTCTCACGATAGCAAGCCCCTTTATGTACTTTCTTTCGATAATCCTCAGTAATGCTAGTAAACGCCATGCAAATTAGGCAGGCACTATCCCTGATAAATTGAAAAATGAGACACAGAAAGACTAAGTCATTTGTCTAGAGTTTTCAGGTTGATGACTGATGAAAGACCCTGAATGGGAGCTGCGAACTGGGTTCTAGCTCTAATTCCAGTGTTATCCACAAAAACCACAAAATGTCTAATATCACAACCAGACTACTTTGGATTTTAATACTCCCTGTGGTATGGCACTTTTTCAGTGTTTACCCTTGTGTCTTGGTCCAATTCCAAGTTGGGTAAAGACTCTCTGCTTACCTAAATTTCTCCTCTTGTTTTAGATGAGTAAGTTATTTTCCATTTCTAAAACCTGCCTTCCAGTGTTTCTGGCTCTAAAAGCTGCCACATTCCTTTTCAAAGGTAGCTGAATGTCAGTGGTCAGTGTCTGTATATTATCTGGACACACTAAACTGTAAGAACATTTAATGAACATTTAATGAACAACTGTCTGTAAGATGTTTTAAATTTTCCCATATTTTTTTCTGCTTCTTTATTTAAAAGCCATACTGTTAATATAATTTTTGAAGGAAAAGGCAGTAGAAAATTCATATTTTAAGTACAGGTTTTTTTCAGAACTCCTTTTCCAGTGTGGTTACAGGTGTATTTCACCTTCTATAATACAGAAATTTGGGAAAATGTCATGTGAATCCTTACTTTTTTAATGTTAATCCACTTATTTTCCCATTGACTCCCTTTATAGTTTTAGAGATGTATAAAGAATGAAGTTAGCTTGGCCCTGAGATGTTAATTAGAATTATACTGAATAGAGCAAATATTTTAAGCCTTTATAATTTAGGTATTTTAATTTTGAAAATGAAATTATTTTGGCCCTGAGTTGTATAAAAAAATTATACCCAATGGAGCAAACTTTAATATATTTAAAGAATTACATTTCAGTGAAATATGAATGCTAACACTAAATTCTTACATTAAATGTTGGCTGTTTGCCCTGTCTAAGCAATAGGGTAAAAGTACATGACAACCTTGAGGGAAGGTTGCCATCGTGGGACCTTACGTATTTTGAGGTCAACTGGAATTTTCCGCGTTACAAAAGCTGAGTGAGCTCACTCAAAGTATTGGTTAATGAAAGGCTATTTAACCCAGGTATCATGGGTTTCCCACTCTTTCCTAAAGGAAATAGAACCAGACCCAGCCCTAGTGGTCATGGATAGTCTATTCAGCAGTGTTCTGAGAAATCACAAGGAGACATGGCACACCAATGACAGCCCGTTTTTGACCAGACATGGCTTAAACTGAAGTACCGATCACTGAGGTCTAGAGACCTGAAATGTTACTCTCCTCTGTCTGTACACCGCTCTCTTAGGCACACCTTACCTTCAGGAACCTTTTCCCCAAGGCCCACACTTTTTTGATAAATTCTGTCTCGGTGAAATACTCTAAAGGTCTCTAGGTCTGTGAGATTATGGGTGGACACAGAAGAGCATTCATTGAAAGTAGGAAGAATCAATTGTTCAGATAGAGCAATCATTCCCAATTTTTTGGAATTGTGACGAGATTATTTCTTCAAACCATTTTAATCCCTATGTAACCCAACATGTTGTATGCCATAAATTTACTTTAATGAAACAGGAGTAACAATTTTTAAAATGTTTCATGACAACTTATCAATGAAATATAACATTCATTGGGAGTTGGAATTATGAACTTAAAAGCTAGGGTGTAAAGTTAACATAATCATATTTCCCTACTTAATTTCTCAGATAAGAACTAACACCCAGGGTGGTTAAGTGATTTTTTTCCAAGGCCTCATAGCTAACCTAATACCTAAGTTCCCCACTCCTAGAACAGTGTGGTCTTCGACTCTACCAAAATTATGTCAGAAGGGATTAGTAAATCCTGAAAAGTGACAGAGTTCCTTTGTAAGCTGGAGAACCATTTCATCCCTCCTTGCATCTTTCCCCAACCACCAAGAAAGGGAAAGATAACAAATCAGAGGCCAGAACTTGATTCCAGGGCTTTAAAAAACTGGGACCAGAACAGACTCATTGTCATGTGAATTCTGAATTCAGAACTTTTGACAACAATGTGATCTTTTCATAATTATCAACTCCTAATGTGAAAGTAAAATCTTATTAGATAAGGCAACCAGGTAGAACATTTCAAAACTCTCTCTTATAGTTGCACTCTTAAAAATAAATAAATAAATAAATAAATAA